CTCACTACACAGATCGGACTCATAGTGATCCCCCTGTTTTCGGTCTCTCAAGTACTGAAATTACAGGTGCGTGCCACCATGCCCAATCTCAGTCACTGTCTTGGCATGCCCTGGGGACAGGGGCAGCATGGCACACTGGGGATCAAACCCCAGTCCCTGGGTCTGCCTAAGCAAGCACTTTAACCTTCTGAGCTATCTGGCTGGCACTGCATGTCCATTTTTATGGTCAGTGCCATGCTGGTTCTCTTACTATAGTTTTGTAATAAAACTTGAATTTTCTTGCTTTTTTTTTTCTTTACCTCTTCTGGGTTTCTTCTGGTTCCATGTAAATTTTATGATTTTTTTCTAGTCCTTTGACGTTTGTATTTCAATAAGAATTAGTAATTGTATGCATCACCTTTTAAGATGACCCTCTTGTATTAATTCTGCCTATCCAGGATGGGGGAAGTCTTCCCATTTTCTCATATCCCCCTCAATCTCTTTCTGCAGAGTCCTGCAGTTCCATTATGGAGATCTTTTACCTCTTGAGTTACATGAATTTGTATGTATTTAATATTTTAAATTATTATTATTATTTTTTTTTTGAGGAACCAGGGATTGAACTCAGGCCCTTGTGCTTGTCAGGGAAGCGCTTATTCCACTGAGCCATCTCCCCGGCCCCTTTTAAACTATTATGTATTAAATTGTATTTCTTATTTCTTTCTAGATGAGATCATTATTGTTTAATAGGAGTGCTATTAATTTTTTTATTGATTCTGTATCTTGTTACTTCACTGAAATTTTTATTAAAACTAATAAGAATTTTTTGGTGAAAATTTTTGTTTCTTCTGTGTAAAAGATCATATTATCCTCAAACAAAGACAGCTCAACCTATTGTTTCCTATTTATGTCTTTCTTTTTCCTGAATGCTCTGCCTAGAGTTCATGCACTATACTGAAAAGGGTTGGTGAATATGGATACCCTTCAATCACTCCTGAGAGCCACATAAAATGACTAGAAATTGATATTCTTATTCATTTAAGCAGACATGGATCCTAAGGAAACACTAGTATTCTTTAACTATGATAGCAATACCTATAAAAATTTTTTCATAAACCAAAAATAGTTAGCTAGAAAAATACAAATGCAAAGCCACATTGTCATATTTCACACAAATACATAAAAAGCCTGGCATTCTGTAACATCTTCAAATGGCTTAAAGAGACTGAAAAAGGACTGACATATAAAATAAAAAACAAATTCTTATCCCTAGACTATCCTCAACTGTGATTCCTTAAAAGTGACCACTTTAAAAATTTATCATTGTAATTCTTTTGATGAAGTGTACATAGCCTGAATTTATGCCCATTTCTGAATTCCAGATCTGATTTATTAATAGCTAAGAATGTAAGTCATGGAAATTCCTCCAGTTTCTTCATTCACTTCTCCCAAATTTTATGTCCCATAACATTATCCTTATTTATGTGAAACGTCTTATAATTATATGTCAATCTGTCAATGTTAAATTTTTATTTTAATGTTCTCCCAAGTATAGTAGTGAAATAATGCATGCCTAATGTTCTCTTTTACTTCATAAACTCCTCTATTTCTCAGCTGTTTATAACATTTTGATATTATTTAAATATTAATTTAATATTTAAAATAACTTAAACATTTTAAATTAAGACTGTTATGATGCTTAAATTATGATTAATATTCACAATTCTATCTTCTTTATTTTTTACTCTAGGGTCCTTCAAAAGGGAAAACTAATAAGTAGTATTTCTTCTATTTTTTGTTGTATAAATATTCATTTAAGTACAATAGATGAAATAAAATTTGTGGAGAAGGTGATAGAGCTTAAATCTACTGAACTTGCTGCTCCAAGTGAATAGTTCAACAAACAAGTTACATATTATGTTTTTCAATTATTATTATAAAATGTCTTTCTATGATTATAATAAAAACATTGAAAGGTAAGTGTTGCCTTTTGGGGTTTCCCAATGACCTGTTTAATTTTTGTTTTCTTCCTTACTTAAGACATTACTAATTATATTCTGTTTCTTTATAGTAATTTTTATTGCATGAATATATTTCATCAAGAATTCTGTGATCTCCTTTCTTAATTTTAATTAATTGCATGTTTGCTGGGGCTGGGGAGATAGCTCAGAGGCATAAATGCCTACTGGGCAAGCACAGCCTCCTGAGTTCTATCCCTGGTACCTGGTACAAAAAAAAAAAATTGCAAGCTTGCTAACCTTGTTGTACAGCTGTGAACTTGAGATATTGTTTTCTTTCACTCTAGAATGAAGTCTGTAGACAAATATGTAATACAATACCTTCTGGAGCTCCTTCTAATGCTTTGAATGACATCATTCAATAGTGGTTTTAAAATTTAAATTTGAAGAGATTAACCTCTTCACAATATACCAGTATATATTTGGGTAGAATTAATGTTTACATCAGTACATGTTTTATGAAAAATTTGAACATGTTTTCTACCAAATTTCTTGGTACAAGTGGTCATTGCTTTTACATTTCTGGTTTCCAAAGTCTGCGAGTTTAGGAAAAGTTCCATTGTTCATCATAATCTTAATGATTTCTCATCTTCTTTATGATCTTAATTACCTCGTGCACTTTTATTGACTCCAAGCCTGTATTTCAAACTTATGTTTCTGCAATGTCTACAGAATAAACTCAAAACCAAAACTATAGATTAATTAAATTGGAAAAATTAAATATTGATTAATTAGATTCATTTACCTGTGCACATTTGTGGCAAAATGGCTTGAGGATGCAACTTCAAAATTAAAAATGCTCTCCAAAGAATCAAGTGAAATGAAAATCTCCACATTCCAAATTCCATTTGTAGTTTCCCGTACGCAGGCATGGTTCCAAGCACTGTCCTTTTGAGAAACGGCGATGCATAAATCAAAGAGTCCATGAGACAAAAGCAACTCAATTGCTGTGCTCAGCTTCTCCCCACATTCAATGAGAAACATTTCTCTAGGGAGGCAAGCTAGCAAAAACTGCAGCATAAAAGCCAGAAACACCTTAAGGATGTTTCTTGTACTACCCTTTATGTGTGTTTATGGCACTCTGCCACAAGGCAATTCTGTAATGGCTATTGTACTGGGAGGTGGTAAAATTATGTAGTCTAGGTTATGGTTTGCGCTTATAGGATGGATTAATTTATGTGTATCTATTATAGCATTTAGAAATATGAGAGCACTGTTTAATGTTCAGAAGGTTTTTCATAAATATGTCTCTCAACTCAGTTTTTCTTAGATATTAAGCAGTAATGGTTGAGGTTATACCTAGACAAGTAATTGGATTGCAAATATTCTATATTTGTGACTCAGTATAATACGACACTCAAGACAGTCAGCTGAGTTGGTAAAAGAATAAAATGACTTGTGAATGTTGAGGTACAAAATTGGAAAATATGCCACAAAATAAATAAAACAACTCTAGGGCCAGCCAAATAGCTCAGTGGATTAAAGTGTCTGCAAGCAGGCACCGGGGCTGGGGGTTCAATCCCCTAGCCTTCCATGCCAGCCCCCCCCTAGGGTGCTCTGAGATAGCAATTGAGACTGGGCGTGGTGGCACACTCCTGTAATCCCAGCTCTTGGGAGGCTGTAAACAGGCGAATCACTATGAGATCAACCTAGTAGTGAGACTCTGTACACACTACAGACCCTTCCTTAAATACAACAAATAAACAAATAAATAAATAAACACATCAACACTAATATGGAAGAGAGATTGTTCTGCCAAATACCAAAGAAGAAGCCCATATACTTACCCCAAAAAAGTATAGGAACAAAGATTGTTATTAAACTCTGTGTGTGTGTGTGTGTGTGTGTGTGTGTGTATTGTGCATATATGTGTATGTTACATCTGAAGCACTAGGGATTGAACTCAAGGGCTTCATCCTAAACTACATTCACATTTCACTTTTTATTTTTCATTTTGAGACAGAGTCCCACGAAGATTCTAAATGGCCTAGGTTTACTTCAAAATTGTGATCTTCCTGCTTCAGCCTCCTTAAGTGGTGGAATTACAAGAATATACAACAAAGTCTAGCTTGCTATTAATTTTTTAATGATGATATCAAGAAAACAATAAGCGCAAAACACTTTCCCCTAAATGTAGCAAGCACATTTTGCATTTTCATGCCAACATATTTAGGAGTGATGAGACAAATACTTAAAATTAGAAAATTCAACAAAAATGCATTATTTCTACCATAAGGCAAACTTGAATCTGCAATTTTGCATGACAGTTTTGGGCAGGAGTCACAGGTGCATGCTTCATTCTCATTTAGATGATGTATCTCACATCATTGGCTCCTGTAGGTATTTGTACTTTAGTCCCTCCATTGGAAACATGGCTTCATACATGCAACTGGAAAAGACTTAAATATTTTTATTAATGTACAACATATAGATACAATTGCACATCTCAAGAATCTGCAGCCAGAAGCACTTTGTAAAGTGAGTAAAGCCATACAACCATGTTGAACATCATCCATACCCCAGAGACTTCTCTCATGTCTGTCACATGGATTAACAATATTCCAAATGGTTACATTGTAGAATACTTTTGCCTGTTTGGACATCCTTTTCTCAGGATTATAAAAACATGTTCCATCTCATGACAGAGTAGCCTTATTTCGTTGACACTTGGCATTCCATTTTATGAATATGTCAAAATGTATCCATCCATTTTACTCTTTTTTTTGTATCAAGAAAGTATCTTTAATACTGAACAATTGAGACATATTCAAAATACTGCTTTGGTAGTTTCTGAATTATTCAAAACGCCCACTTTCACCCTAAGTTTGATGACCCACTGCAACATGCTGCGTAAGGCTTCACCCTGTTACCACTGATTTTCTTGATTACCTTGCCCTGTTTTCATGAGCCATCAGCCCGGAGTTCTGCTTCCTAGAAACATCTGAACACTCATTAGAACAGTTTGCCGGATAATCTGGCCTCCTCCAAGTTTTAAACAGCAAAGAATGTTACTTGTGCCAGTCAGAATCTGGTACCAATTAAATGGTGACAGCTTTGCCAATAAACAAGAATATGCTCTTCCATGGCTAGGAAGTCATTTTACTCTTGACATACATAGTCCACAATAGGTCTTTATTCTCCAGAAGGACTACCATGAGCATTCAAGTACACATCTTTGATAACTTATGCCATGATGTCTGTCTGCTTGGTAGTTTTTGCAGTGAAACTGTTGAGCAACTGTGCTTTCTTAGGTTAAGTTTAGTAGATTCTTTCAAGAATTATTTCCAAACTAACTGGGCCAAATTTGTGCATCAGCCATCAGTGTTCAAGCACTTCTATTGCTGATTAATTAATATCTGTTAGATTTTTATGGTTTCTAGTCTATTCTGTGGCGTGTAAAGGCATCTCATTCTGGTTTACATTTGAAAGTTAATGAAGGCAGGTGATGAAAAGAGTTCCTCATTAGAATTGTTGGTACATGGTCATCTACTTCAGGAAACTTCCTTTCTGAGGTTATTTTCTACTTCTTTCAGATGATGATCTTGTTTGCTATGTATCAACAGTTATTCTTTGAGTATTTTTAATTCAAGTCTATTTTTTGATAGATGAAATTATTCGACAACAAAATCATTAATTTTAAGGACTGGAAGCCTATTTAAAAATAGCTTTGTATGTATTATCAGTTTCTTCAATACTTAGATTATAATGATCTTCAGTCACATCATCCTCAAGCAATTTTGTCTTTCCCATTCAGAAGAAAATATCTAGAACTACTAATTGGCTTTGTACATAGTTTTTTAAAAAAATTTCTTTCATGTGTATCAAATAAACCCAACATCATATATTGACGTAAGCATTACATCACCTACTGCAATTCAGTGTAATTTTAGTAAATCTAGAGATCTCATGTGTGTTTGCATGATTCAGAAATTTGCTTCTTTCCACCTGTTGATGTGTCTATTCTTTTACCAAAACAAATTTATGTAGCTATGACATTAAAACAAGACTTGATGGCTGGTAGGGTATGTTTGCCAAAATTTACCTCTCAAATTAATGTAAAGGAAACTTTTAGTTTTAGTGAAAAAATTTCTTGGAATCTTTTGTTGGAATACATTGATTTTTTTTAATGCCATGGATCAAACTCAAGACCTTGTGCTTGCCAGGGAGGTGCTTAAGCTACATAGATACATTTATCAGATTGCAAAATGCTTAGAATACTGTCACTCAAACCTTGAAAACATATATATTTCCTTTGTGTAGATCACCATTAATTTTTCTGAAAATATGAGATAGATTTTTAATTATTTAAATGTTTTAGTAAATAAAGTATTAAGTGTCTTCCCAAATTTTGTGGACACCCCTGATTTTCGATATTATTGTATAGATTCTTTTTAATTACACTACTTAGTGATGCTTGAATGAAATTTCCTTGCTTTATACACAGTTTCTACTAAAACAAGAGAGTGTCTAACTTCAGTAACTCTGTTGTCATTTATGGTGCAGTGGCAAAAGTCACACAATGTCTTTCCCTCTGCATCCCATTAGTCAAATCAGTTACATTGATGCATCAGGTTCGTAGAAAAGAAACATGGATCCCAGTGCCTCCAGGAGAAGTGGAGTTGGGATAATAATTAGCACAGCCTTCTCTGAAAAGTTCTTTCTGCACATTTGGGTTATCATCAATCTCAAAAATAGAAATGAGAAGGGAACATAGAATGGCTGCATGGAGGTGCTCAGAGCACTCTTCCTGTACAAAAAGCAAAAGGACAAAAGGAGTCAGAGAGGACTACATCACTGTGGACACTGGTGATCATAGTGCTATGGGATAGATCCACAGCCTGCACACATTTAGAGCCTCAGTTGGGGAACTGTCCACCATTTGAAATGGAACTGCTTCAAAGGAGAGTGTCATGGTTTCTCCCCACATAAAAAGTAGTACAGTTTACATAAAAATTGAACTACTGTACCATCCAGCAATCTCACTGCTGGGTATATACAACCAAGGGAAGTAAAATTATTGTATCTCAGAGAAACCACCATATATGGGTACTGCAACTATATTGACAACAACCAGTATATGAAATCAACTGGCATGGCCATTTGTGAATATATATATATATATATATATATATATATATATATATATATATATATATAGAGAGAGAGAGAGAGAGAGAGACTTGCTATGTAGTTCAGACTGGCTTTGATCTCACTATGTAGCCCAAGTTGACCTCAAACTCACTGTCTTTCCCCTGCATCTGTTTCCTGAGTGCTGAGGTCGCAAACATGCAGCACTATGACAAGCACAACAATAGGAATGGAAGAGGGGGACATTATATAATATAAAATATGACAAAACACATGTTTTTGATAACTAGCGGAAGCTAAAACATTTAAGGAAAGGCAACTAGACAGTGCAGTAGAGGCCATTAGGAGATAGGAAGTAGGGATAGAGTGAGCAGGCAATGGGTACAAAAAACTACAGGCTGAGAGGGAAGTAGATCCACTATGATACTGGACAGTGAAGGAACTATAACTGAACATTTCAAAGTAACTAGAGGAGTTGCTTGATGGCACCCAGTATATACAAATGATAATATTTGAGGATATAGAGTTGCCAGTTACCTTGATTACTATGCATGTGTGCTTAAATAACTAGACATATTGTATGTCAATTAAAAGTAATAGCTTTTAAAAGATAAAAACAATGTTTTCCAGGTTTTTATATTTATTACCTATCTGATAGACTATCTCTCTTTACAAATCAAGTAAAAATTGACTTAACAACTCCAGATATATATCATTTTGATATATAAATAAAACCCCAAGTTTCTAATCTTAAATTTTAGGGCTTATGTCAAAGTAAAGCAACAGAAATAGCTATGTGGCCTGCAGAAAGCAGTTTGGCTTATGAGAGACTATAATATTTGAGAATATATATAATTTCCTTAGATGATTTATTTGTACTATGCCTCTAAAAGTTCCCCATTGTGTGAAAAATATGTTCCTCTGCTGACAAGAAGAAGGAATACTAGCCAGACCTAATAAAACAGAAGTGAATGCCTCTGAATGGGTCTTAGCTGTGAATGTATAGCCTGTCAGTTGGCCATTAGTGCAGTTTTATGTTGTTATTTATGGATTTTTCAGCTAGAATTTTCTAACCTGAGCAGCTGTGTAATACAAGCCTGATTGTTGGTGCCCATGTTTCTATCTTAAATTGCAGCATTCCAGTCTTAATCGGTGCAATCACAAAGAAACAGTGATTGCTTAAGTGAAAACAAAGTTTTCAGGACTCAAGATCAATGAAATAGACATGCTTTCACTGTGCCAAACTCCCTCTTCTTTAGGCCGTTCTACTGGTCTACCTCCCATCATTTTTCTTATCAGGTTTTCCTATAATTTACTAATGCTTCTGTCTTCCATTTATTTTTCCATTCCACAATCTGCCTGAGACACTTTCTGAATTCATATCATTTCTTTTCTAAAAAATAATTCTACAATATTTTTGACTGACATTCATATTTGTCCACATTATGAAGTGCAAGATAATGTTCTGGTTTACATACACCTGCATGTGACAGTTAAAGTTGACTGTGTCAACTTGACTGCCCTGTGATCCCCTCAGGAGGTTGGTGAAGCACACTTTGAGGTGTGTTTGGGTGGTTTATTTAATAGTAATCTAAAATGACGTCTTCCTATTTGTACTTTTGACTGTGGTTTCTTTCTGAATCCTTTGATTCTTCCTCTCTAGTGTTGCATCTTGCGTGTTTCCAACTGGCACAAATTGACATATTTCCTGTGCCATACCCTTCTACCCTCTGTCTTGGGGCTTGCCAACCAAACATGAAACCCTGAGCCAAATTCAATATCTTCAGTAAACTCTGGATGTCAGGTACTGTGACACAGCAACATGAATGCTGACTAATACATTGCATAATGTTGTAATGACCCACTTAGAATAATTATATTTGGTTGCTTAAACTTCTATCATTTTATGGTGATTACATTTAGATTCCTCTCCTCTATTTTGAGATATACAATGTATTGTCATTAATTATATATAGCATGCTATTCCATAGAATACCAGAATTTATATTTTTTATCAAATATTAACATTGTACCCATGGAGTGACCTCTCTCTCCCACTCATTCTCCCTAGTGTCTGCAACCCCTTTTCCAATTTCAATTTTTATGAGAGCGATGGTTTTACATTCAATTTATGAGGGAAATCATGCAGTGCTTGACTTTTTGTGCTTCACTTATTTCACTCAACATAATGTTCTCTACATCTACATGAGTAAAAATTATCATTTGTTGTTCCAAATTACTTGTGTTTCTTTCTTTGTTCGATTTTCAGATACAATGACAGCATTTCATTTTCTTATTATAAATTAAATTTCCCTATATATCACACATATGCATGTACACACACATACACATGCACACGCGCACACACACACACAACCCACATTTTCATTACTGCAATGAGACAATTTATAAAATGGGAGAAAATATTTACCAGCTGTACATCTGACAGGGGTTCAATCCAAAATAATTATGGAATGTGTACAACTCAATAACAAAAAGAAATTTTAAAATGGGCTTCCTTTATTTATCAAGTAAGAGATGGCACTTATTTCCTGCAAAATAGGCTGTCATGTCATTTTAGATTCATATTAAATTAAAACCCCACTTTTTAGTTTACCTAGGGTGGGTTCAACATGAGGATCTTATTATATATTACAATATTTTATTTGAGCTTATTCTGAGCTAGGTATTATTATGCAAATATTAAAGATGAAGAATATAATGCCCAAGTAGGTGAAATAAAGTTCATCTAGCTAGTGGGTGGAATGAACGAATTTAAATCTAACACATCTGCTTGCAAAGCTCATATTTTTTGGAGTAAAAATTATCATTTGTTGTTCCAAATTACTTGTGTTTCTTTCTTTGTTCGATTTTCAGATACAATCCTTTATACCTGAATGAAAGTGCCATTTAATTCCATTTAGTTAAATTTCTGTTCAAGTTTTGTTATTTTTCCTTTAATCATGGTTAATTAAATTCTTGCCTGTTTACTTCATTTTTGGATCAAGGGTTCAGAATGCTCTGCCACAAAA